AAAAAAAAAGCGTTGAAAAAGGAACAAATTAGAAATAAATTGTTTGTTGTCTGGAGTTTCCCTCAAAACCACCTTCCTCAGAAGTGCATCCAGAGAGCGTGTTCTGTCCTCAGGGTGTGTTAATAAAATCCAGGCTGCCTCAGAGCTCTTCCAAAAGCGTGCAGAGCCCAAGCAGGAGCAGGAAGTGTTGGTCTCCCACAGCTCCTGACACCTTAGCAAGGAGGAGGCCCTGTGTGATAATAATTTTGCGCGACAAAATTATTTGGCAGAACCTTCCCTTTCCATCAGCCCCCATTTCCCTGCATCCCATGGTTATTTTCCATGATTTTCCTTGAAGCACTGACGTGCATTTTGGCCCTTTTTTGGTAAATCCTCTGAATGAATAGCTTTTCTCCCTCAAAAAGACGAGCCAGGTTTTGCTTTCAGCYGCTTAAAACAGGAGGAGTTGGACTCCTGTCCCCATGAATTTAACTCCAGTATCTCCATTAGCAACCAAAAAGCATCTGCTACTGCAGTTGTCTGGAATCCTCGGAAGGGAGGCTGAAGCACAGGTTGGTGATTCCAGGATTGCTGGTTCCCCACCCTACACTGCATCCCACACTCCATGGAGGCATGGCCTTAAAAAATGCTCTGAAATTGTTAAATCGGTGCTAAACCAGGATTGGCACCGGGTTTCCAGCTTCCCTGTGGTGAGCAACCACTCACAGCCAAAAAATCCTCTCTCACTGAAGGGGAGAAAGGCTTGACTGTGACCCTGTGTGGGTTTAGATTTGATTTTRGGAAGAAATGCTTCCCTGGGAGGGTGGGCARCCCTGGCACRGGGTGCCCAGAGAAGCTGTGGCTGCCCCTGGATCCCTGGCAGTGYCCAAGGCCAGGCTGGACATTGGGGTTTGGAGTAAAGGTGTCCCTGCCCACGGGAACAGCCATCTCAGTGGGATGAGATGGTTTTTAAAATCCCTTCCAACCCARACCATTCCACGGCCCTGTGATTTCTCTAACACAACACACGAGTGTGGCACAACCTGTTCAGGTCCCCACCCCACGCACGGAACACCAAGGCAGGGACACTTTG